GCATCCCTAGTAGATGTCTTATTCCCATTTTTGCCAATTCAATCTGCTGAATATTTCTCAAAAAGTCTATGAAATCATTACAATGATCTGTTAGTAAATACTAGATATTGTGCCATGATCTTAGCATTAATGACTGGCTTAATGGTTCATTCCGTTCACCTGTCTGGCTCTGCCCAGTTTCACATCGCAGTTTATCTGTTTCACCTGCTCTAGTCTCTATTTCAACTGCTTGCTTCCAGCCGTCAGTGCCAGATTATTCAAGCATTCGGTGAGAGTTCTCTAGCGTAACTGTTTATTGCCTCATCCTGACCCGTTCTGCCTCTGGACCTCTGAACCTGCCTGTTTCTTTTCTAATCTGTTTGCCTGACTTTTCTTCGGACTCCTGCTGGATTCTGCCTGTGGACTGAACATGGATCTGCCTCCTGGCTTCGACCCTTCAGTACCTCTTCGGATCTCTGACCTTCTGGCCTGAAACTCTTCGACACTGGCTTCGTCTTCTTGGTTCTGCTCGTCATCCAGTTCTGCAGTCTGCAAGGCTTCAACTCGTCGAACTCTCTGGGCTGCGTTTACCACGTGCTCCTTCCTTTGTGCACGGAATGAACTCTAAGGCCCGGTTAGTGACTCACGTACTTGTAGTCGTCCTCCGTCAGATTGACGTGGTCACTAACCTGAGTTTTCCCACTGCAGAGATACCGGCCTTAGCTGCTGAATTGCAGATCTGATGTCTCTTAATAAACACTTTTGAGAAGTTTGGCTGTCTATTCGATTTGAATTCTGGGTTCTCTGTTCTGAGCCTCGACAGGCGGGTCTTTGTTTTCTGTTGGGTGAGCAGTAGTAAGGTCTAGCATCTCTGCCATAGAGGCCATATTTGCCTAGTTTGTCTCTTACTGTTGAATCATAAACACGAATCTTATTTGAGGTAAGTGAAGCCTAAGGTGCTTTTTTAAGTTATTCTTTGTTGTTTTGTGAACAAAGAGTGATTATGTTGGCTGATCACTGCTGCTCCATGTTTTCCTTCATTTGTGGATAGTGATTCTCTAGTTTCTTGGAGTTACAAAGTTTTAAATAGGTCTTTGTTTGTCTCTTTCTTACAGAAGGTTTTCAGTAACTTTGTGTCTGGCTTCTTTAAATTACTTTAGATTCAGATATGATATTTGTTTTTGAGATCTTTACACCTACATCATGATGCCAGACAGTTTCTACTGCACACTTTCTTGTGTTAATAATGAAATTAAGCTTGCTTTTCAAATTTGGTTAATCACAATAATGTTAAAACTGAGGTAAAAACTTTTTCATATATGGCCAAGTTAGCATGGAGAAATGTTTTCCTTTAATAAATAAAACGATCATTCCGTAAAAGTTCAAAAAATATCCACTGGACTTGGTTTCCAAGATTTGAAGACGTTTCGCGAGGTGGCGAAACGTCTTCAAATCTTGGAAACCAAGTCCAGTGGATATTTTTTTTAACTTTTACGGAATGACTATAACCTGGATGACTGAGAATCTTCATCAGCAAATAAAACGATCATTGAAAATGGAAACTTGTCTTATGGTAAATGTTTTGACAATCACATTGACAGAAAAAGAAACCTCTCTACATTCAGACCTTCTCCACATTAATAGCATCCCGCGCTGATGTCTCCACGTAACGCATCCCGTAAGCCCCCGCCAGCTTCTCGGCCTCGTGCTGGGTCACCTGACGCTGGGCCTCCAGGTCACACTTGTGGCCAACCAGCAGGAAGACGATGCTGTGCGGCTGAACGTGGCTTCGCGCCTCCTCCAGCCAGTTATGGACGTTCTGGAAGGAGCGGCGGTTTGTGATGTCGAAGAGCAAAAGGCCACCCACTGAGTTACGGTAGTAGGCTCTGGTGATGGACCTGAATGGGTAGATGAATGTTGAATTGTTGGTTTAACTGATTTATTCCTACAAACATAACATGAGGCGTCTTACAGAGATTTTTTTTTTTATATAAAATTAGATCACATTTTTTCCAGTTAATTCAATATAATTTATTTTCCTGGTGCAAAACAATAGAATTTCATATTTTCTTGTCAGTTACAATCTAAAAGGTTTGGTTTGAATTTGTTTTCAGAAATCCTTTAATGTGGATTAAATTACCATTTTGAACAACATTTCTTTGCAATTAAAGCTGTAAGTCTATCGGGTTATGTCTCCATCAGCAGCACACATCTACAGATTTTAATTTATGACCATCGTTTTTTAAAAACTTGTCTAATTATGTCAAAGATATCCGATTTCCGACAGATTCTAAAGTGGATTTTAATCTGGAATTTGACTGCACCTTTTAAGACAAAAAAAATGCAAACTAAGCTATTATATAAGGCAGGGAATCCGGAACTGATTCACCAACCATCTATCAAAACAAATAGAAAATGGGAAAAAGAAAAAGACAGAAAATAAATTATAGCAAATAAGAGCTGACATATTTTTTCTTCTAATGTCTGTGGTTGAAAAACAGGAGCCTTAATTTTATGACGCCCTGCGACAATTTTATTTAAGTTTTAACAATATTGAGGATTACACGTATTTAGAAAATATAAATCCAAGAAAAAAAAAATACATTTACTTTTTTTAAATTTGATGATAACCTAAATTCATCCTCGCTTAAAATATGTCAAATTACACATACTTTCATGTTAAGATCAAGGGATGAAAACATTAGTGACACATGGTAGAGAAACTAATTTCCAATAGGGGCATTGAAAATAATGCAAAAATGCAAAACCAATTAAAAAATCAATGAACAGAACAGCAAGATGTGAAAAGAAAGCTAAAAAAAAAAGATACTTCACTGTACATAAAGAGCAGCGCTAAATATGTCACAGCTAAAAATGAAGAGTTGGGCACAGTTTTCTCAGAAAGACGTCTGAAACTGAAAGAATTATATTTTTAATATTATTTCATCCAGAAGACGTAAGACTGGCAATGAGGAGACAATTTTTCTTTAGTCTGAAGGTTTTTTTGTTTGTTTTATCTATATTTTAATCCTCTAAAGAAGGTCATTTATGGATTTCAGTGAACAAACCATTCTCATTGCAAGGATATGAAGAAAATAAGCATATGATGGGGAGTGTTGGCCCAGTGGTTAAAGCAGTGCGCTTGTGCTCTGGGAAGGTGGCAAGTTGCTGGTTCGATCCCCACAGCCTGCACCTTGGCCCCTTGAGCAAGACCCTTAACCCCACACTGCTCCCTGGGCGCTGCACAGTGGCAGCCCACTGCTCCCCGAGGGGATGGGTTAACTGCAGAGGTAAATTTCTCTAATGTGGGATCAATAAAGTTAAATGATTTTTTTTATTATTATAAATCACATTTTCATTTATATGTGAACATTACTTGATAAAGTAAACCAGGGTGTTATTTTTCTGAAAAAAAGAAGGAAAAAAAAGAATGTCCCAAATAACAGAGTCTGCAAAATCCTTGCAACTACAGGAAAAATGGCTTCATAGCAGGAAAAAAAATGTTTCTACCTGAACCTCTCTTGTCCTGCAGTGTCCCAGATCTGAAGTTTGATCCTTTTTCCAGGCTCAATCTCCACCAGGCGAGAGAAGAAGTCCACCCCCACTGTGGGGTCTGACACCTGGGCGAAGCGACCCTCCGTGAACCTGCGGATCAGGCATGACTTGCCCACTGTGGAGTCTCCGATGACGATCAGACGGAACTGGTAAAGCCATATCGTCTCCATGACTCAAGACTGAAATCTGTAAATGAGAACAATATCAGGAGGTGTCTGACTGCACATAAAATGAAATAATGCAACCATTTTTGGCATCTACTTTATCGTATTTAGTTACTTTAACACAATTGTTTCATGTAATCAGCCTAGGACATGAAAAAAAGTGGTTACATGATTTTTTCCGGCATAGATTTCATGAATAATTCCATTTTTTTTATTATTATTATTAAGTAGTTTTCTGGTTAATTTAGTCATTTATATTTCCAAAAATATCCTCTTCTATTTCTGAAGAGAAAGGTGAAAAATAGGAACTTTCTGGCAGGCATGCAAAATAACCTTTATGGATGAAAAACATCATGAAATATAATAGTGGCAGCATCATCCTGTGGGGTTACTTTATTCAGTAGAGACAGAAGCATATCAGTGATTACAGTAAGACAGAGGAAGTCAATGTATATGAATCCTAGAAGAAAACATGCTGTCAAAGATATTGGATGGAGAGAGTTTTACCTCCCAGCTGCATTAGAGCAGTATACATCAAAGCATATAAATGAGTCAGAACAACTCAAACTCCAGGCCTATGTTCTAATGAAAAGTGATGATCATAGATGGTTTTCTTCCAATCTGATTGATCTTAATGGTTTGTAAAGTAAATTGAAAAAAAGGTAGAGAACTATTCTTAAAAGATGTAAAAAATGATATATTTTTTTAAAGTATTTCATATATTTACACACAGTACTTCCAGATGTGCCTCCACTTCATAGCTACGTATTACTGCATGTCAGCCTCTGATGTAAAGTATGACAAGTGTGAACATGTTCTATAACACTGATAGACACCCCTGCAAGATATGTTTCTAAAAGAAAGAAAAATAAATGCATTTCTTCCAATAGATCATAATTTTAAATGAATTGAATTAATAAAATTCAATTAAGAGTTTACATCTCTGGAATAATTCTGATAAGCTCTTATCATCTTCGCCCTGTGCATGTGATTCACAGTGGGGTGATCTAATTTGAGGGAAAAGGAGGGTGGGGGAGGCCACTCCCCTTCAAGTCAATAAACAGTGGTGTAGTCAGCCCCCCATGTGGATTGTGGAGTATCTGAGAGGCAGCAATCACACAAAATGAGGGGATGGAGTAAGCCACATATACCTTTCATGAAGAAATAATGCATAAATAGCAGATTTTTTGAAATGGTAATAGTAAACTGTTTTATTCTTTGCACACATTGTCAGAGGCACTTTGTATTACATGCATTTAGGACACATATTTGTCTTCAAATGAGGGCCTACCTTGATTCAGAGCTCAGCGTCTGTAAAAAACAAGCTCCATGTTGACGATGGTGTCTTCTGAAAATGACCCCTGAGGCTGTCGGTGGCAGTGATGCAGCAATTCACAGAGATAATCCCCCTAAGATGCAGCACATGAACCCGTCCAGCATCAGGGCTTTAAAGAGGACAGACAGAATCCAGCTGGTGAGTGTGCATATCAGCTGATGATGGGAGCTGCTATTATTTCCGTGTGAGCTTCCGAAATGGCAGCATCACCACCAGACGCAGCCGCGGCATCACGCACAAACATCCCCTCCTCGCTCTCATCAGCACCAATCCCCTAACTGCGCAGACAGTGGCGCAGCTGCAGGATCTTAGGATGCTGCATTCAAGTGTTGCAGGAAAAAAAATGCCGGAAAAAAAAAAAAAACACAGACTACACGGTGCAGCTGCATTAAGCTTCACCACATGTACAAAAAAATGATGTTTAAACAACTTTCACATTTTAGGTGATCTGTATTCTCACACATTATAAAAAATAAATAAAAAAAAACATTGAATTATTCATATTAATCTACATAGTATATAAATATATATGTGTGTGTTGATTATCATAATTTCTAATTTATTAACAGTAGATTGAGTGCATTATTATGTTTTAGTCTATTCTAGACTGTAGAATCTACAGTCCATGAAATGAATGAAATGATCATTCAATAGATCTATAGTGTAGATCTATTGAATGATCATTTTGTAAAACTCAATCAACCAATAAAAAGTAAGAAATCAACACACAACATAGTGGCATTAATTAATGTAAATGAAATTCTTACAGCGGGCCAACTCAGGTAACAGTGAAGTTTTTGTGAAACAACGCTGAGTCTGATCCGAGCAGTACTTGAAAGCACCAATTAGTGTAAGGGATGTCAGAAATAGTGGGGTAAATCTTTCCATAGGCACCAAGGCTGCTTCATTCAAGGACTGTTGGGACAAATTGTTATGGAAAAAGTAAGCACCTGTGGAAAATAAGATTGCAAGTTGCAATCTTATTTTCCACAGGTGCTTACTTTACTATGTGCTGCAATTTGCAACACATAAAGCTTCATTTAGGCTACTATTTATTTTTCAAATAATTTATAATTTTTTTAAAAACAAATCGGCTACGTGAAAATTAAACCTTAGTCAGACGAGTTCCTTAATCATGTTTCTACATTATGCTTACCTGGCTTGTATCTCTACTTAACAAATATATATGTGTATATGTATAATAATAATACTAATAATAATATTTATAATAGTAATAATAATAACAATAATGAAGATCGTTATTTAATAATGAGATTGATGCCTAGATTTACAAGCCGCAC